TCTATTTTTATTTTATTTATTACAATTAAATAAAAATAAATTATTTGAAAATTAAATATACAAGTTCTGTATTTAAAATGTTTTGATCATTTTGGCACATAAGAGGAATTCTTTGCCAAACGTCGCTAGCGCAATATTCTTGTCGCAATATGTCCATTCGTGTTTAATAAATCTTTAAAGTGATAAAAAAAAAATGACGTAATTGTACATTTAGAGATCATCATTAATATCTTCTAATAATATTAATTTTATTCAATTTGAATATAATAAGATTTAAATTCTATCATTTTTTATTTTGTGTAATAAATTTAAAAATTTCTTGATGTCTTAATTACTTTATTTTTGATTATGAAACAAACTATTCAGATATTGCATTAGTTTTGGCATGTTTAATGTTATTTAATGATATTGAATCATAGAAATGAACTATTTAGAAACCATTTACGACATTTGATATTATTAAAAATTTACGACATTTGATATTATTAAAAATTTAGAACTCTCAACAATTTCCTATGAATAGGGTAATATATGTTAACATAAATCATAATATTTCAACAGTTTTGTATAAATAGGCTAATATTAACATAAATTATGTTAGGTGGATTATTTATAAGCAGCAAGAAAGTTTATATATTTAATCATTATTACTACTTATATTACTATCTATATTTCTTATTTGCACATCTACACATTCATTAATATCACATTCTCCTTAACAATAATAATAATTTACATCTCAGTGAAATAAAAATTTAAAACAGAGAAATCGTTGATACAACATATGGAGTATTGAAAGTATTCTTTAGAATGACCTAGATAATTATTCTACTATGATTTGTATCTGTTATATTTCAATATCAATGCACAATCATGCTAATGGCAAACCAAAAAACGATTGGTATCGCATAATTGGGCGTTTTGATCATGGTGAAGGAAAACCATTTTATGTTATGTTACTAATCGCTTGCCTGCTTTCTAACATCGTTATGAACATAAACTGTAACTGTTTAGTTTTACAATCAGGAGAATGGCGGAAAACCACCTTTGGTTGGGATTCAATTGATGGTACCAAAACCATCAAAGGATTATCGTTTTATGAAATGGAATTGGCCGCTCATTAGGAAGACTTGTTTCTGGTCTCTGATGTCAGTTCTCGCTGGTTGCACAGCATTGGTTATTGGTGTAATCGCTACAATGCCAAGAAAGTAAGTATTAATTTATATTTTTATTTTTAAAATATCAAATCTATTGAAAATTATGTTCAAACGTTCTCAATATTTAATCATTTAGTATTATTTAGTAATCATTATTTAATCATAGATTTTTTTGTGAATTGAATATCTAAATAAAATTCAAAAAATCAATATTTTTAAAATAATTCATATTTATCTCAATAGATGTGATCCTGCAGTTCAATGGTGGCAAGGCAGTGTCTTCTACGAAATATTTCCAGCATCTTTTCAAGATTCCACGAAAGGTGGGGATGGTATAGGCGATCTTCGAGGCATAACGATGCGTTTGGATTATTTAAAGAAATTAGGCGTGCGTGGAATTCGTCTAAATTCTATTTTCCCAGCAGCCCATTATCCCGAATACTATAGGAACATAGAAAATTTGACAGATCTTAATAAACAATTAGGAACATTGGATGATTTTTCTAAGCTTGTGCGCGAGATTCATCGTCAAAATATGAGTCTGATATTAGATTTGCCGTTATATCCCTTCATAAAGACTCTATATAGCGAAAGTACGCCATTTGAAAAACAAAATAAAACAGACAAAGCCGTGCATGAAAGAAGAAATGTTACCGATACCGTAATTCTGCAGGAAATAATACCAACGATACCCTCGATGCCGCAACAAACAATACAGAATATCCAAATGTTTGAGAGATTTAATACATATCAGAATTATAATAATGTATCAGAAAATTCTGTTACAACAGCCATTAATGTTTGGCTGAAAAGAGGAGTCGATGGCTTCTACTTAAAAGGACTGGAACATTATGTCAACGAAGAATCCTTTATGAACATCTTGAAGCATTGGAAATCAATTCTAGGGTCTGAAAGAATATTTATTTGTCATATAGATGCTTTGAATGCTGCTAAAACGGTTGCGGCAAAAGATTCCATTTTAATGAAAGTAGATCTCGTAGATATTCCGTTAAATATCGCGAATGGTACGAAGGAGATAAAAAGACAAATAGAGAATGTCACGAAAGGTATATTGTTCGAGAAACCTGGTTATTCTTGGGTACACTGGTCCATAGGTAGCGTGGATTCTAAAAGGATTGCTTCTACCATTAGCGTGAAGAATGCTACTTTATCAGCTACATTGTTAGGGTTGATGCTTCCGGGAACACCAAATATATTCTACGGTGATGAGGTATACAAATTGAATATAACACGAATATATCTACTACTATAATATATAAAATGTCATAAGGATCCCAGGAATTTAGAAGCGTATGTTATTTTATAGAAATAATCATATGGAATATGATTCATTATATGTACATATGTATTATGATAAAATTTAATAATATTTTATAGATTTTAATTGATTAATATTTAGATAGGTATTATGGATTGCGAATGCGAGGATCATAAAGATCTTGCTCACGTGCACAATTTGCCTCCCATGTATTGGGATGGAATCGACAATTCCAACATTAAATTTACATCCCTTGGTGTTACGCCTTGGCTTCCGGAATCTACAAAACCATTAGAGACAAGTTTATTCGGAACTATTGCTGAAATAATTACTCTTAGATCAGAAACAACACCAATTTATGTAAAAGCGGTGCTAAAAGAAAATCAGGTGCTGGCGAACTGTGATATTAGGTAATATAAATTTATAAAAATTAAATATTACGATGAAATTTTGAAATTTTTTTATAATTCTATATTTTTTTTATATTTAAAAGAGCAAAATTTAGTAAAATAAAAATTTTTTGCAAAATTAAAAATTATTAACTTTGTATTAATTTTTAATACAAAAAAAATTTTTACTATTTTTTTTTTTAGATATGCAGATGATGAAATAATTGTAATAGAAAGATGGTATCCAAGACGGAATTCTTATGTCTTTTTAGCAAATCTAGGTAACAAGTCACAAATGAAGGATTTATCTTTTCTTTATTACGGTGGTCAAGTTGTAGTTGGGCCATCATACAGATTAAATAAAGACGTATATTTCAAGGAACTTACTATACCTCCGGGAGAGGCTTTTGTCATAAAACTTGATAAATGAAAATTTGTTATGAATTTAAAGATTTACATAACATTCATTTTATATATACGATCAAGATATTAATGTCTTTGATTAATATGTTCAGCGTGAATTTGTGATATTTTATTTGACAAATATCGTTGCGAACATTGTACAACGAATGTTAGATATAAAAGTTCCTATTAATCATAAATCAATGAGGAACTACAATGTCCAAAAGAACGAATTTATTATTATATTTATAAAAAATGATATATACGATAGAAAAAGAAAGAAAAAAGAAAGCAAAAGTTTGTGCGGTCTCAACGATTTTCATATACACGGGTAAAATGTGCTTAGAAATAAAATCAAAAGCTCATGAAGAAATCAAATTCTATATTATTAATTTTAATCTTTTAATAAGATGATAATAATGAAAGAGCACAACGAACGATCGCATTTCACATTCCAAGAAAAGACAGATCATTTCACGTTTGCCTGTGTTCATTTTAATAATCGAAGTTTAGAATGAGAGATTGTTTAGCTATTTTGTATATCTTTTAATCATTTTGATAACAAAATCATGTTCGATTATTCTCAGTCATAATAGAAATTCAATATAAAAGTCGAAAATATTTTTCATATTTTATAAAATGACAAGAAAATATCATCATACGATTTTAAATTTCAGATCAATTTGAAATATATAGCAAATATTTTTATAATGAATTTTATCACGTAAAAATAACTGTTCGCAACGTGTCATTTTTACTTCTTTTGTAATCATTTTGGTACTAATCGAGTGATATTTTACTGATGTGTGAATTAAATGGTGCTTAGGCAAAAATATCTTTTTTCTATTCTTATTCAATATGATACGTTGTGTGTTATGATGCCAATTTTATATGTTACATGTGACTTAATTATATATTTGGTCGAACTTTTGGTACAAATTTCTTAATAGTATTAAACAAGAATTATAATATTTATTATCTATATAACAAATATTTAATCTATTAAAATTTTTACTTCAACAAACTTTCAATTTTGATGTGAATATTAATATTCGAAAATAAAAAAAATGTTATCTGAAAATTTTTTAATTTTTATTTGTTCTTATTTACTTATATCTTATTTTACATTATTATATAATGATAAAAATAATAGAAAATAAAAAAATAAAATTAAAGGATTTGAAATATATTTGTAGTTGAGTACCACTGATATCTTTCTCGCAAGTGGTTATTTCTGCCTTCGTTGCTTTATAAGAGAATTCTATAGCATAGTACCTCGAGGAGTTCCCTCGTGCAACACCGCGGAGCCACAATCGGAGTCCGTTTCAGTGACTCTCAATTGCTCTGAGGAAAGTCCCTGGACATTTGGACAGAAAGTGTCGTAACGTAATTCGTTACTAGCCTCTCGTCGTCTTCCTCGACTTTTTAGGGAGAAGAAGCTTCGGCAGATCCTTTTCGAGTTAGGACGAGAGTGTATTGGTCAAAGAAAAGTCATGTGTTTTGAGACATTTTAAATTCCTTCCTTGTGGTAAATCCTTTCTTCGGAGAGGAAAGGATGAAATTAATTTGTCTAACTAAACAGGGCTCATTACGAGGAGACTTCTCTTTTTTTATATTTTATTTTCTTTTATAAAGAGATTGAATTATTAAATATTAAACATTGATACGTATAAAATATATATATGGAAAACATGATACGTATTTATGTATATATTTTATTAATAATTTATAAGGATGTCAAATTCAAATTCGTGTAAATAAAAAAAAAAGAAAATTATCGTAGAATTTTATTGAAATTATATTTTTGTTATAAAAGATCATTATTATTTTCATTATAATAAACTAATTTAGATAATACCTTTATAAGCACCATACGTTCAAAATTTGTGTCGTCGAAAACATTTAATATATTTAGCAAAAGCTATTAGTTCGAAATAGTAAAATATAAATTGGACGTACAAAAAGATTTTGCTTAAATATTATTTAACTTGAACGTTGCTAAAATTTGGGCCATCATCAAGACGACGCTTCTTTATTCTTGTAAAAACACTGAAACATCAATATAAAAACATATTTTTTTATTTGCTTTAATTTTTTCTATATGAGGAAGATTTTATCACTTACGTTCTTTGCTATTTCTGTTAAACTATTTGCCATTGAAGTACCCGTTTGTTGTACCATATCGTAAAAATATCCTTTCTTTTGCAGTAAAATATATGGATGATCAAATTCCTAAAAAAATGATATCAAATAGTATATCTAATATATTTCTATAATCTATTTTTTCATAAAAAAAAATTTTTTCATAAAATAATTTAAATAATATAATATTTATAATAATATTTTATAATATTATATTATTTTTATAATATAATTTGTAATATAATATTATTTTTATAATATATATAAAATTCCAAATAAAATAAGACTTACTACTAAATAACCTTGGTTCATCACAAGTATTTTATCACTATCCATTATAGTATTTAATCTATGCGCTATAGTGAAGACAGTACAATCTATAAATTTCTTTCTGACAGTTTGTTGAATCAAGGAATCAGTTTGGGGATCAACGTTAGCAGTAGCTTCATCAAGAACCATAATTTTATTATTTCTAACGAGTGCTCGAACAAGGCATAATAATTGACGTTGTCCAACACTGAAATTTGATCCTTCTTCCGATACTTTGCTGTTTAAACCTGCCGTCATTTCTGAGATCGTTTCTTTTAATTCTACTTCTTGTAAAGCTTCCCATAAAGTATTATCGGAATATTCATCAAAAGGATCTAAATTTCGTCGAAGACTGCCTCCAAACAAAACTGGTTCTTGAGGTATAATACTGATTTTTGAACGGAAGTCATGCAATGCAATTGTATCTGTAGGCACACCATCTATAATAATTTCTCCTTCTATATATGCTAATCGAAAGAGAGCACTAATTAAAGATGTCTTTCCAGCACCAGTTCTTCCAACAACTCCTACTTTTTCTTTGGGATTAATCACAAAATTAATACCATTTAAAACATAAGGACTTTTAGGTCCATATTTTAATCTGACATTTTTGAATTCAACTAGACCTTTCGTAGGCCATTCTTCCGGTGGTTTCTTTTCCGGTATACTATCCAAAAATGGCTCTTCTTCTAAATTACTGTATTCTAATACTCTTTCAACAGAAGTAATTTGATTTTCTAATTCAGCGGTTTGTCTCATACCCCATTGTAACATTCCAGTGATTGAAGAAATTTGTGTGATTACTAAACCAATATTTCCAGCAGTGGCAAGATCATCAAATATCAAAAACATGATTGTAATCACTGCTACGTAAATCAAACAAAATGTTTCGATATAAAGACCGAAAGCTCGTGAGATAGAGATAAATATGTACCACGTAGAACTGTGAAGATCCTGATGATTATCAAAATCCGTTGTTACTATTTTTTCAGCTTTGAACGCTCTAATTGTAGTTAAACCTTGTAAAGTTGCTCCCACATGATCAAATACTGGTGACCGAGCTGAAAAATATCATTATTATTTTAAATATTATATTCAAGTAAATATTGAATATTAATAAATTATTTATATATAAATAAAATTAAGTAGGATAATAATTTAAATAAAGTAAAATATATATAAATTAATATTGATAATACTTAAAAAAATTCAATTTACGGAAAATTCATGAGATTAAATGTAATTACTTACTTATACCCTCCATACGTTTAACAGCACGACTAGTTGAAATGTACACAACTCGCATATAGTAGAAAAGAAGTATAATGATGCCCGTGGGTATTAATAACCAAGCATTTACTTCACCAAGAATTACTATAGTTCCAATAAAATTTAAGAACATTATAATAACATCGAACATGGTAAAAGGTAGTTTTTTATCAATAATACCAATGTCTTTGGAAAACCTTAATACAGAAACGATATTATCAATGATATTACCATAAATAAGATAAAATTAAATAATAAAATTTATACCTATTTAATATTCGGCCAGCAGGATTCGTATTGTAAAAATACATTGCAGCACGTACAATACTATGAAACATTTGTGCATGTAGATTTTTTGAAGATCGCATACAAACTCCATAATAAGTGAATGTTTGAACTACATAGATACAAACGATGCCCACGGTTAAACCACTATAAAGATAAATAATTCCATCACGAGACAATGGACCAACCCATTTGAAAACCATCGTACCATTATCCTTTAAAATTCGCGATGCCACTTCTGAATTTACCCAAAACGCGAGCAAATAATCACTACCGCTAGCCATTATTTGACTTAATATAAATAAAATTATCATTAAAAGAAGTAAAAATGGATTTTTGCTAGCCTTCCAGTAGGCAAAAAAAATTTTACTAGAAATTTTTCCCACCGTTCTCATCTCCAACACTTCGACGGGTTCGTCTGTCGCGTCTGTATTTTCTCTTTTCTTTATTTCCTCCATTGTTTTCCTTTTTTCAATTTTAATTTCAGCTTCGTTAGATTCTTGCTTATCTTCGACCTCTTGGAAGATTTTTATAAAATCTAGATTCATATTTTGTAGCTCCTCAAAGCTACCTTTTGCTTGAATATTACCATTGTTCATTACAATTATTTGATCGGCAACTTTTAAGTACTGTATCTGATGAGTGACTAGGATTCGAGTTTTGTCTTTAAGAAAACCACATATACATTCGTCCACAATACGACTACCGACATGTGTGTCGACTGCTGATAAAGGATCATCTAGAAGATAAATATCGGCATCAGCATATAATGCCCGTGCTAAATTAATTCTAGCTCTTTGACCACCGCTTAGATTGATTCCCCTTTCTCCAACCATAGTTCTATCTTTATGTGTAAACAAATCTATATCGCGTTTTAATTGACAAACACGAATTACTTCGTTGTAACGGATTTCGTTCCATGGTTGTCCAAATAGAATGTTCTGTCTGATGGAGGAAGCAAAAATCCATGGTCGTTGATCAGCGAAACTTATTTTTCCATTGGTTTCTAAAACTCCGTCTTTTAATGCCAATTCACGAAGTATAATTTGTAATAAACTACTTTTTCCTGAACCTATCTGACCAATAACAGCTATGAAACTACCAGCTTCTACTGATAGATCAATATTTCGTAAAGTATCATATTCTCTAGATTCGTCCCATTTGGCAGTGACGTTTTTTAAGTAAATGGGAATAGATTGCGAGGCCACTTGGTTCTGAATTTTCTGTGATTTAGAAATTTCAGGATGCATCATGAATTTCTCTAAACGCTTGATAGATACTAATGCTTCCGCTAATTGATGAACACCTGTATAAAGTTCAAAATATTATGATTATATTTTTCGAAGGAAGCAATTAATTGTACTTTTTGTAATTTATTTTATTAAAATATACTAAATATATAATAAATAAATATATATTATAAATATATGTATAAAATATATTTCGATTAAAAAGATAACTTACTTAAAGCAAAACCAATAGTCATAGAACTTTTTAAAACAGTATAAAATGCCGAAGTCATAAATACTTTTTCAGCATCAATATTGTTTCCAAGTAAAACATATGTTAATATAGTAATAAATAAACAGACTCGAGGAACATAGATATCGAACGTTAAACCAATTTGTTCAACGATCGAATATTTTTTCAATACATCCACTTCTTTCCTAAAAAAACATAATTGATTAATTATTTATTAATTTTATTTTATGAAACATGATAAATGAAAATTATTTCTTACTTTCTAGCTTTTTCCACAAGAAGCGAGTATGGTATTTCCCAAACATACATCTTAATTATTTCTACTCCAGCTATAATCTGATTCATTAAGCTTAATCTATTATCAATCTTTTGAGCTGTCACAAGAGTTAAACGCGATACTTTTTTTCCAAGATACACTGAAAAAGATAAAAGATAAAAAAAAAAATAATTGCAAAACTATAAAAACAAATATAAACTATAAAAATGATAAATTAATTTAATTATGTTTATAAATTTATATATTATATTTGTTAACTCAATTTTTAACGTAAGATTGATATTCATATAAAAGTTAAAAATAATTATAATTATACATCTTGAAATATTTTAATGGTTAATTATTTTAAATACTAACTCTGTAATGGTATGCATAATAAAAATGTCGTCATTCCTGTAATAGCTCCCCATCCAATTTCACGAAAGATAAGATACGCTATTACAAAGATTTGAAGTGGACCAATCCATAAATAATGAATACCAAATACGAAATAGTCGAGCCTATTAACGTCATTGCTTAAGAAATTAACCATCTAAAAATTAAATTAAAAGTAATTTATTATGAATAGAATTATCCATTAAATTTTAAATAATCTGTACCTGTCCAGCAGATGTTTCATTTTCGAGAACAGAATTGGATAGTTTAAGTATCTTTCTGTAAATTAAAGTACAACATGCCACTCTGACTTTCATTCCCACATGCATAAGATTTTGTAAGGCCCAATGAAGAATTATAATATCTATTAAAGGTAAAATACAAAAACCCGCGGCATAATATTGTATGTCGTTGCTCCAGTCTTTTCTGTTCCCTGAGAAGTAACGTAATAATCTAGCGAGTAAAAACGGGTGCACGAGTCTGAAATAAAATACAATTTAATTTTTTTTTTTCTAGTTTTTCTTATGTTTTCAATATATTTTCATATATGTTTTCATATATTATAAAATATATGATCTTTCCAATTTTTTTTCAAAGAAAAAAGTTTATAATATCCAAAATAATTAGACGATTTATATTTTTTATTTTGCACAATGCATCAAATTACCATTAAATTGTTATATTTGTTACTATACCGTATGCCGAATTCTAGAACAAATAGCACTAGTCCAGTGTTCATGACTAGTCTACCAAAGCACTTGTAGAGTACCCTAAATAAGCTCGGTTTTGAATTGTCTTTCTTCTTCTCACATCGTTTCACCTCATTTTCCCAATTTTTCACGATTCGTTGCCCCAAATAATTACTCCTGTCTTCTCGTAATGGCGAATACAGATCATCCTCTTCCAATTCTTTTTTATAACCAATAATGAACAGCTTGAGGATCCACCTATATATTAATTAAAATATAAATAAATTGAAAAATAAAATACATTAATAAAATATAATTATAGATATGATAAGTAGCATGATAAAGATAATTATAGCATGATAAATATAAAAATATAAAATAAATTAATTCAAATAAATTAAAATTGACATAATTAATAATTTATAATATGTAACAACATATGATTTATATATGTTTATATATTTATATGTTGATCTATCTTACCAAAATGTAAGAATGGACAATGGGTTGGCATTTTGACGCGGATTATTCACTTCTTTCCTCTGATTTTTATCCATTTTCGCAAGTGCAACCGTTTTTGGTCATCTCAGACTATTATGGAAAATATTACGTTTATCGTATTTATCTCATTTCCTGAAATGAAAAATCAAATCAAAAAAATCATATTTATACATTATTTTACTGCATTAGCATAATTTTTATTATAATTTAAAAAAAAATTTTTTATTCATGATTAATATATTTTCATATTATAGATATTAATTTATTCCTACATATATTTTACATGTAATAATTTTTTATATGAAATAAAAAAAAATGTAGACATATTAATATCAGACAATAAAACAATTTTACTATATTTTTTAATAATATTTATATAACTTATAAAATCTAAAAATATTTTAATATAGGAAATTATTCGAAAGTTATGCTTATTATAAATTTAATATACGTTCTATATATTTATTGTATATTATATCAATTTTTTGATTTCTCATAACATTTCATCAATGATTATATTTGAACAACTTGTATTTATCTTATGTAAAATAAAGAAAATAATGAGGAAAATAAAACTATTAAATACGCAGAAAAGAGCTCATCGACGTGTATAAAAGTGTTTTACGAATAAGAATCAACGTGTATACTATTTTTAGAGTGATGTTGGAAACTGGTTTGTTTGCTTTATCGTTTATTTTACGGATTCTTATCAAAAAACATTATAAATTTGAAAATCGATTATTAAACATTGAATAGAAAGAGGAAGAATCATTTTGATAAATTATAATTTTTTTTTTTTTAATTATTTGCCATTAATGTATAATAAAAGAAAAATGATGCAAAAAAGAATTATAATGAAAGATAATCATGATAATGATATATAGATAAGTTTTATCACAAATTTTCGACATATGTTTACTTTGATTTTCCTTTTTTTCTTGTCCGGAGAACAACTTCAATTTTTTCACATATAAATGTAACCTCGAAATCATATATCATAGTGACAATTGTACAATTCATCTATCATCATTACTTATTCTTATATATCAGTACACACGAATCATAAGACAATATTTATGACTAGTTTCGAGCTCGATACCAACGAATTCTTCGTCTGAAATGATAATTTTATATTTCCGCCTATAGGACTATTTTCTGCATTTTCTAATTGCGAATTCATCTAAATTGACAGGACATTTTATATATATTAAATTAAAATTTTTGAAGATGCTAAAATGCAAAATAGTGAAAAGAAAGTTATGAATATTTAATAATCAGAAACATATTAATTATCAATTTCCATCTTTTAAGAAACAAATAATTTCTAAAGTGTATATTATTTACTTGTTCATAATTCTATAATTAATATTCTAGTCTGTTATAGTATATTATTAAAATTATAAGACGATTACTAAATTAAAGAAAATTAGCATAAAATAATTGTAAATTTAAACTCATCTATTACATATCGATAGTAATCAATCATATTGTAATTAAATCGTCGAATTTGTTACATATTTTTTTTTTTCTAAGTACAAAATAATCAACAATTTATCTATATTAATCGAGAAATTACAGAAATCTATGTCTTTTAATGTTTTTAAAAAGACAATGATACAAATGGTGAATCATATTCGTCATTGAAAAAGTATTACCTGAATCCAAGAGTTAAACGTTTGAACTACTAATCAAACGTATCACATTATGTTATTTCTTGTCGTTGGAAACAAAGTATTAAGAAATTTTGATTGGGAACGAGGAAGTTGAAGTTGTATGACGATAACATTTGAAACCTTGACTGTTCGTCAAATCAATTATTCTGAGAAATTTTTCTTTTAAAGATATTTTAGATATGTATATGGATATAATTAATTTTGATGGATATAATTAATTTTATTAAAAAAGAGAATATTATATTAACTTCATTTAACTTCTTTAAAAGAAATTTAATAAAACGTGCAATTGAATTTTTTCTTGATGAATTAAAAAATGAAATAAAATAGATAAATAATTTGATGATTTAAAGTATTTCATATTTTTACAGAAATAATTTGTAAGAATTATGGATTTTTTTGAATAAGATTTCATTCTATAATGACAAATAAATAAATAAATAAATAAATATTGATAAATAAAACGAAATTTAAATACATTTATAATTAATATAAGATTTATTATATTATTATACAGAACAATTAATACTTAATATAATTTTCCAATTTCTAAATTTTTATTCTTAAATAATAATAAAATTTCCTATTATATGTATCTTGGATCAGAGAATAACAAGTTCTACCACACGTTTAATGCCTTTTCATCACAGATTCTCTTTCCTCAATTTCCTTCGAATTCGAACTACCGAGACTAATCTAAATAAATCCAATTTTCCTATTCACTGCTCATTGTGAGAACAGAGTTTCTCTTCTTTAATACGTATCACGAAACAAATATCAAATTTAATGTTAATCGCTTCACATAACAGGAATAACAGAACTTCGTGCGTTTAAATCTATTTAATATTTATAGCTTAATATAGCTTCTTGAGAAAAAACAAAATGTCGTATGAATAATATAATTTGGAAAGAGTCACATACACAATTAATCGAATATATTATAGATCTAATCTATAGTATATAAAGTTAAAATGCGAAATTGTCAATTGTCAAGATAAATTTGTGATCCAGGCAAGCATCAATTATATAAAATGAATAATCGTTAATTGATCACTGAAACACAGTGATTGTAAAAGCATAGCTCGATTAAACGACAAAATACTACGACGAACGTAAGATCATTGTTATTATTTTTTACCAATTTTTATTTTTTTTAAAGAATATTTTGAAAAATATTTGAAAAAATTATTTCTAATAATTTTTTTGGAAATATTATATCACGAGATAACGATCTTTTAAAAATATTGTGAAAGATAAAGTATAACAATTCAATAATTGATTAAAAAATTTAATAATTTTCTTGAGAAATTATTTTTAATATTTTAATTTACTGGAATTAAATCTTATTTTAAGTACAAAAATGGAATTGAAAATAAATGAAAATGTTCTTTATAAAAATTGTGTGTTTAAAGATAGATGCTACAATTATTTTTTAATTAATATTCTAGCTTGTCTAATTTGTTACAAAATTTACAAGATTTATTTCATTTTAATAGATTCTTTAATAGATTTTTTAATAGATATAGAAACTTCTAATAATAATGTCTATTTATACAGATGTACTCGATATATCAAAAAACATACAAAGTTGAATATAGATAACAATAAATTGTTTGTCTATGTATTAATATAAGACAAAGAAAACATATCATGTACTATTATTAAAGTCATGATAGATTTTTATTAGAGGAAAATTTGACAGTCATCGAAAACAAAAAAATTTCTTCATATCACATCCAAGAAAAAGATAACGATTTAAATCTGTTACATGTTAAAAAATATATTCAATTTGGAATTTATATTTAATACATTTAAAAGAATTAAAAGAGTTCGTGTATACGAATTAAATAATTAAATAATTAAAAAAAATGTATAAATAATAATCAAAAATATAACAGCCTGTACGCAGGTAACCATGCCATGCACATCTAATCGCAAGTATTATAAAGACATTCTTCTTTTGACAATTTTGTTTCGCAAGGATACGATTTTCATTCTAAAAAAATAATAATAAAAATAATAACTCTACGATATCTATAAATCTCAAATTTCTTTCCAATTTTTAATTTTTTCTACAAATTGTTATTATATTGTATAAAATAATTTTTCGATGGCTATAAAAATTCACACCTATTTATTTTAAAAATTATCCTTATGTACTGTTAAATCAAATTAAATTCGCTTCACGTATCATAGGATAAAGTTGAAGTTCTTATTTTTAAGTTCTTATTATTAAAACGAACATGTTTTCGTGATATGCGATGCGTGGCCTTTGAAAAAACGATACAAAAAATTTAATTTATAGTTGTCTTATCTCACTGTACACATGATGATAATGTACATGGATCTGATCGGGGCATTTGGAAATTTAGAAGCCATGGTGAAAAATATTATAGACACAACAGTAGCCAAGGCTACTTATCGCATATTGTTTCTACTTCGATTCAACAAATTGATCGAACGTGCGATCATTATTGTGAAAGAAGAGATTGCTAACAGCAAGTTCGAGAATGCGAAATGAATTTATATCTTGCATATCATAACATTTCGAACAAGTTTGGCAGATACGCCATTTCAACGACAACGATGATAAAATTCTCTGGCATTTGGCACCTATGTTGTAATTGTTGAAGCCTGGTACAGGTATGTATTAGCAAAATTTGGATGTTGATAAATTGATTGTTTGCGATAATATTATAATATGTATAAGGATACAATGATAAAGAATAATATCATGTTGCTTGGAAAAAATTCATAGAATTCATGAAAAAAAATTAGAAGATAAACTAATTTGAATTTTATTTTTATAAAATTTTTGTAAATCCTTTTTGTAATACCTTTGACTCGTTTGAAATCATATTTTTTTTTCTATTGTTGAACAATTTCTTAAATTTAAAGAATTGATTGTGTGTTATATATGTAATATAATTTTCTTTTTTAAATGAGTGTTCAATTACAAAATAGAGATTTAATAGTGGTATTATAGAAAATTTAAGAAGTAGACAGATTCATCATTAAGATAAAAAACGCTTGAATAAAAATTAAACATGCATTCCAAAAATGCGTTGATGAATGCGTTTTATTTTAAGAGAAAAGGAAGTCATTTTATGTCTATGTAATGTCATTTCAGGACAAGTTAATGAATCATCGAAAGCTTATACTTTGCCATTTCGAGTTCATGCATTTATCGATTATCAAGACGACTTTCAAAACTTCATTGTCATGTACGTGCACCAGTTTCCACTCATGTTTATAGCGTTTATGCCATATAAGCTCTATCAGTTTATTAGTTAACTTGCAGCCAATTATCCATTTTGTCGTATCGTATACAAAATATCAAAATCAAATGTTAATTTAGAAAGTGCGATCAAAAAATTCATTCATACAAAACTAATTGCATAAGTATTCGTCTTTTTCCTTTTAATGTATCATTTTCTTTATATTATTAATGACTGATAT